ATTATAGAAGTGTCAGAAGAATAATTTAGAATATTTATCATAACTAAACTCAATGAGTTGCAAAAGAAAATAGACAACTAATGTCAAGAGATGAGAAAAATCTTTCCACGACTTAAAGGAGAAACTCCATAAAGAGGTAAATACCCTGAAGAATCAAAAAGAACTTCTGGAGATAGAGAATATGACTCAGGAAATAAAAACTTTTTCAAAAGTATTAACAGGAGATTGGCCATGAAGAAGAAAGAATCTCTGATTTTCTTTTTTCTTTATTTTTTTTTTTGAGAGGTTTTCGCTATAGGGCACATGCGCTCACTAGAAAGACAGAGAGAGACAGAGAGAGAGAAAGAGAGAAACCACCACCCAGGGGGGATGGTCACGCCGCAATCCCTTCTCCTCCATTCTCCTCTCGGGATCTTGGGCACGCACGCACACGCGCCTGGCATGAGTTCTAAGCCACCAGGTCCGGGATGCGAACCATGGTCCACTACGTGGGAATCCAGCGACATAGCCATTACGCCATCTGCTGGTTCCCCCTACGAATATTTCTGTAGTTAATATTTATATCATTATGGACCCATGACAGCACTGTGCTATCCATTTACAGATGTGGAGCTAGGACTCAGGAAAGTTAACCTGCTTCAAGACATACGACTCGAGGCAATGCGAGCAGAATAAGAACTGGAGGCTCCTAATCATCACCCTCTACTTCTCCCACACATCATTCCCAGGGCAGCGCACACAGCATCCTTAACACCGAAAATTAAAATAAAAATGCCAAGATAAAGAGCATCTGGAAGACTACGGAGTCATTTGTATAGATTTCCGAGTAAAGAAGACCTGAAGCAACAGATGTAAAACTCCTTTTAGTAACCAGTGCAAAACAGGAAGAACCCACCAGAGAAAGGGCCCACTTGCAAAGAAAGGCTGACAATTCTCTCACTGGCAAGAAGGAGCTTTTTCTAAACTGGAATTCTTATGAAATGTTTAATGCAAAATCCCCCTGTCACTGCTTATAGCCACTCTAGACAAGGGACGACAGAGATGCATTTGTGACACACAAGCCCCGAGGGATGAGCCTGACAGTTCCATCTAACCTGTATGAGCTGAATGATCTTGTCCTTCACCAAGTCCAGTTTGCTCTTCATCGAATGAGACGTATCAATGAGGACATACACACACTCATCACGCACTTTCCCGAAGAGGATTTGACTCCCAGCCTGTAGCCATTTAATCCTAGACAGAAAACAGGTTACACGTGAATGGTTAGAGCCTGCGGGCAACAAGAACATCTTTCTAACAACTTGATGAAACATCTACAGAGATCAGAGCTGGGCTATACCCATTCTTCAGTGAATGGGTTTTTCTGTATAAAATCCTACATTTGGATTTGCTCCCTCAGCATCCTCTCCAATCCAAGCAAAACAGAACTAAGAAAATCAATAAGATAGAAAAATAAATCCAATAAGGATGTGCAAGCCGAAAGTAAATGATTCTAGTTATCTGATATTTGGAGGCCCTCAGCAGTGACTTCAGACCATTTGTCCTTCTAATCCTGCTGACTGCAGTCAGGCTAGTAAGTCCAACACAGTCCTAAAGGCTCAGTGAAGCTTATGGGAAGTCTCAAGCAATTCTAGACCTCATTAATAACCAAGCACCAGGTGGTTGTGGGAGCAAGACAGCTCCTGTGACCCATGCTCAGATTCCCAACACATGATGTAAATAAAAGTTTTCGGTGACAGGCAAAGGCTGGGGGTGAGGGTAAGGGGGAGAGGATAAAAAAAAATGGAAATTAGCTGAGAAATTTAGCAAGGCCTAAGCAACTCGAATTTGTAGGGCAAAATACTGAGAGGCGGTTACTGCACTAAGAGGAAGAGAGAGGGTAAGGAGGGAGAGAGAGAGAAAGAGAACACGCTTTGGAGAGCTGGATAAGGATTTCGGTTAATGATCGAGCCACACATATGAAGAAACTATTGAAGACACTAAAAATAATTAAGTGGATCGATCCTTCAGAACTTACACAAGGCTTGGAACAGTTCATTTTTCAACCAAAGTGAGAAAACCTCATAATACCTGGGGCGTCTATTAAGAGTCTTCAAAAGGACCTTGTCTTAGTAGTAGAACCGAATTAGCCCTGGACTAAAGCAACACTGTATTTAATATAACTTAAAAGCAATCCCTAAGGAGATCAAATTGATTCTAAGTAACTTAACTGCTTTGTAGAGCATATATTCAAAAAATAAAATGAAATCTAGCACCCAACAATGTAAAAATCAAAACGTCTGAAAAACATGACAGAAGAAAAATTAATCAATAAAAACAGACCCCAAAATGGCATATATGACAGAATTATCAAAAAAAGATGTTACAGGGACCAGAAGTTAACGTAATGGCTATGTCGCTGCACTCCCATGTAGTTGACTGCTGTTCGAGTTCCAGACCCGGTGGCTTAAAACTCACGCCAGGCGTGTGTGCATGTGTGCCCAAGATCCCGAGAGGAGAACGTAGGAGAATGGATTCCGGCGGGACCATCCCCCCTGGGGGGTGATTTCTCGCTTTCTGTCTCTCTCTGACGAGCGCATGCGCTCTATAGCAAAAACCTCTCCAAAAAAAAAAAAGATATTACACAACTATTATAAATTTAGCACATGTGTTTAAAAAGATAAAGTATAAACAGAATGAGGAAAGAAATGAAAATTTAAAAATAAGATCAAATTGGAACTTCTAGGGAGATACAGTATCTGAAATAAAAAATACACTGCATGATATTAACATTAAATTAGAGACTAGGAGAGGAAAAGATCAGGGAACTTCAGAAAAGTCATAGCAATAAGAACAATTCAAAATGAAACACAGAGGTTGGGGCTGGCAGGTGGCATGGTGGCAGGGAACTCCCACATGGCCAACCGCGGTTTGAGTCCCAAACCTGGTGGCTTGCTTTCTCACTTTCTCTCTCTCTCTCTGGTCAAATTAAAATAAATTAGTAAATAAATAAAGTTAAAATAATTCTTTTAAAAAATGAAACACAGGGACCAGCAGCTGGTGTAATGGCTATGTCATTCAACTGCGGTTTGTGTCCTGGACCCAGTGGCTTAAACTCACGCCAGGCAAGTACGTGCGTGCCCAAGATCCCGAGAGAAGAATGGAGGAGAAGGGATTGCAGCAAGGTCATTCACTTTGAGGGGATGATTTCTCACTTTCTATCTCTCTCTGTTTTTCTGGGAAGCACATGCAGCCTATAGCAAAAACCTTTCCAAAAGAAAAAAAAAGAAAGAAACACAGAGTTAAGAACCAAAAAATTAAGTAGCCCACAAAACAATATTACGAGGTTTAACATATGTACAATCAGAGTCTGAGAAGGAGGGGAGAGGAGTGTTCACTCCATTCTGTTGTTAAGACCATAAAATACTGGAACTGGCAGGTGGTGTGGTGGTGAAGGGTGCTGGACTCCCACATGGCCGACTGTGGTTCAAGACCCGGACCTGGTGGCTTGCTTTCTCACTTCTCTCTCTCTCTCTCTCTTTCACCTCTCTGGTCAAATTAAAATAAATAAAAAATGAAGTTCAATAAAATAATAATAAAATAATTCTTTCAAATAAAACATAAAATACTGAGTGATTTATGAGAATATAGGTGTAGGGCCGAAGTTCAGTGGTTGAGTGTTATGCACTGGGAGCTGTATCTCACATGGCCACCTGCTGTTGAATACCAGCCCCAGCAGTTTAACAGAACTCAGTGGCTCAAAAAATGCAAGAGGCACGTGTGCGTGTGCCCAAAGTCCTGATGGAATGGCGAAACGGAGGAAAAAGGACTGTGTAGTGACTATGCACCACTGGGGGACGGGCGATGCTTTCTCTTTCTCTCTCTCTCTTTGGTGTGTGTACATACTCTCTGGCAATTAAAAAAAAAAAAGAAAAGAAAGAAAAAGAAAAAAGAATAGAGGTTATTTAGCACACGTTTTTGGAGGTCCAGAGTCAAAGGGGAAGGTCTTCCTGTTGGTGGGTCCTGAGGCCACACAAGGCGTCACACCGTAGAACAGGAGACCGCATGTCATGTCCACATGTATCTGTCTGTCCCACCCCCTCTCTATAAAATCGCCAGGAGTCTCCAAAGGATGGGGTCCGCCGTTCAATACCATAATCATAGCAAGTTTTCCTTTCTCTTAATCTTAACACACCAAATTTCAGCACATAAATTCTGGGGAGTAATTCAAATCATAGCAGAGAGAATAATATTTTAAAAAATAGGGCCAAAATACTTCTGATTTTGATTCAAACTATATACCTACATACCCAAGAAGCTCAAAGAGCCCAGAGAGTAGAAAAATGAAGAAAATCACATCAAAATTAAGTTGATGCATTCAGTAATGAGGAGAAAAAGCTCAGGGTGAGACGGTGGTGAAGCAGTAAAACACAACACTCTGCAAGGCTAACTCACGTGGGAAGGAGTCAGGTTTGTCTGCAGAGGCTTCCATTAGTATGTCAGACACACGTCTGCCCGTAATCTGGCACCTGCTGAGCCTGGGGAGTGGATCATGTTGTCAAACCCCTGCTGGGAGTGCTGTCTCTGTCTCTCTCACTCATGAAAGGAATACTTTTTTTTAGATATTTTGTGATGGGGCGTGTGCACTCACCAGAGAGACAGAGAGAGAGAGAGAGAAAGACAGAAAGCGAGAAATCACCTCCCCCCTCCCACCACCGGGGTGGTGGCTACATCACAATTCCTTCTCCTCCATTCTCCTCTTGGGATTTTGGGCTCTCATGCACATACATCCAGCATGAGTTTTAAGCCACTGGGTCTGGGACTTGAAACATGGTCAACTATGTGGGAGTCCAGCGACATAACCATTATAATTTTTTAAACTTTATTTATTTCTATATGACCAGAGAGGGACAGTATAAGAAAGAGAGAGAGAGAGAAAGCCACCAGCGGGATGCAAACCACGGTCAGCCATGTAGGAGTCCAGCACCCTTAACCACCACACCACCTGCCAGCCCCATAAATAACTTTTTTTTTTTTTTGGAGAGGTTTTTGCTACAGGCGGCGTGACCTCGCCACAGGGCGCGTGCACTCGCCAAACAGAGAGGGAGACATAGAGACAGAAAGCGAGAAATCATCCCCCGGGGGGATGGTCACGCCGCAATCCCTTCTCCTCCATTCTCCTCTCGGGATCTTGAGCACGCACGCACACGCGCCCGGCATGAGTTTTAAGCCACCGGGTCCGGGACATGAACTGCGGTCGACTACGTGGGAGTCCAGAGACATAGCCATTACGCTAACTGCTGGTTCCCATAAATAAGTTTTTTAAGAAAGGAAAAATAAAAAAACAAAAGCAGTCAGAGACAAAATATACACACTATGCACAAAGGAGTAAGCATAAGAATGGCAGGAGGGTTTTATTATAATTATGAATTATGCAAGCCAGAAGACAATGAAGAAAAATTTTAAAGTATTGAAAGATAAAACTGTAAAATTCGAATTATATACTTAGTAAAAATACTGTTCAAAAATAAAAGTAAATTAAAGAGTTTTCAGATTAAAACAGCTGAGATCATTCATCATCTACAGACCCGCACTACCAAAAATGTTAATGGAATTTCTTTAGATAGAAACAAAATGCTACCAAATGAAAATGTGGACCCATGCAAAGCAGTAAGAGCAGCAGAAATATCAAGTATGTGGATAAAAATAAAATACACTTATTGGTGACCAGTAGATGGTGTAATAGTTATGTCGCTGGACTCTCAAGTAGTCGACCATGGTTCAAGTCCCAGACCCAGTGACTTAAACTCACACCGGACACACGTGTGTGTGTGTGTGTGCCCAAGATCCTAAGAGGAGAATGGAGGAGAAGAGATTGTGGCATGGCCATCCCCTCTGCAACCCCCCCACCCCCGAGTGATTTCTTGCTTTCTGTCTCTCTGTCACTCTGGTGAACGCATGTGCCCTATACCAAAAATTTCTCTTAAAAAATAAATAAATCAAATAAAATATACTAATTCTCATCCTTAACCTTGTTATAAGACAATTGACTATTTATAAGGTATTGTGGCGTTTATAGTTTATGATGGAGTAGAAGATAGAACAATTGAAAGGACATAAGGAAATAAAAATTTTAAGAGTTTTATAATATACATACAGTGATAAAGCAATCTTTGAAGATAGGCTATGATGTATGCTAAATAGTCATACTCACAACATAACAAAATAAAGATAAGAGTTAAGACAATAGGGGA